TTATGGAGCTTAATCCCGGAGCGTTTGGTGCTTTAGTGACGAAATTGAACAGCTGCGTTGCACAGCTGGAACAATTCCCAGTGAAGGTTCACGATTTACCCGCAGGTTCTGGCGCCGGTCGCGGCGGCACCAGTGCTCTCAAATTCTTCAACACACATCAACTTAAAGTAATTGACTGCGCACATCTAAAATAAGCAAAATTTACTTAACTTTCACGAGAGAAGACAATTGATATAAACGCAAATGTTTCGTTGAATTGTGCAGTGTAATCTTCAACGGCATCCGGACTGTAATAATCTGAAACAGTGGAAGGGCGGTACTGTAAAAATAGATCCGCTTGCATTAGTACAGGCGATTGAACGTTATTTGATGGTACGTGGATATGGCAGAATACGCGACGCTGACTCGATGGTCAGTGATGACGACAATAGCGAGGATGACATTGATGATACTTTGGTGTGTACTTCTTCCACCCGAGTGTCTTCCCGAGTATCTTTAGATAGGAGAAAACTGATAAAATCGGCGCAAGCCATTATTTTTGCCTTGCTCTTTCCTTTTCAGGCGGCAGTCGTGATAAGTCAAGGACCACCGAAACATAAGCTTCAGTTTTTAATCGGTGACGTGGTCCTACCTTTCAACATGACGGTTTATCAAGCTGTCAGGCAGTTTGGATGCTCCGGAGTGGATCACTCTGAGGCAGAAGCTGATAGTGAACCGCCACTTGGGCACGACGCGGTATGGGTGCAAACCCACACGATATACTACAGGTATTTTCAGACATCCTGAAACACAAGCGCAATTCCTTTTCTTCCTTTTTTCTCTTATCTTTTAAAGTTCCAATCTGATAAATGTTTGATAAATGTCTTTATTCTCATTCTTTTTGAATGCAGACCTGTACCAGAAGAGGACGCCGCAACTTCTCCAAAATCAGGATCGAGTTCACAGGGTAATAGCAGGAAGGGCAAGGGAAAAAGTACAAAGATTAGTTCGAAGAGGAAAGAAGATGGTCTGTGGCTGGAAGGCACGATTCCGCCTCAACACTGTCCCCTCGCGCCATATCTATCTCCCACGTTACCACCCACGGTAACCATTACGGACGCCTCTCTCGACGGATTGTGTCTGCTACGGCTCTTACACGCTCTCAATCGCCATTGGGGCATACTGTTCCCTCATCTGAAAAGCATGAGCCTGCTGTCGCCTCAGGATTTCATTAATAACAAGATCGCCGCGAAAGCCAGCAGACAACTGCAGGATCCGCTGGTGATCATGACTGGAAACTTACCGTCTTGGTTACAACAGATAGCGTCCGTCTGGTTAGTAAAGCAGATAGATCGATCGTTGGTTTACCTAATTTTCGCATAATTCAGAATTTGTAATAATTGAACTTTTTTTCAATTTTTAGTCCTTTTCTTTTTCCATTCGAGACGAGGCAGCTCTTGTTGTACGCGACGTCGTTCGATCGAGATAGAGCGCTGCAGCGTCTCTTGGACTCCGCGCCAGAACTCTCGGGATCGGACAGCCAGGAGCGCGTTACCCCACGCTTAGAACGAAGGAAGAGAACTATCTCGCGAACGGATATTCTTAAGCAAGCGGAGCAAGTTATTCAAGACTTAGCCTCTAACAAGGCCTTACTTGAAGTGCAATACGTCAACGAGGTCAGTCGGTTTTTGTACGCATGTGCCTCTCAGACTGTTATTGCAAGTTTCTAACGTGGTATTCGTATTATAGGTCGGTACTGGTCTCGGTCCAACTTTGGAATTCTACGCTCTAGTCTCTAAGGAACTGCAACGCGCTGACTTAGACTTGTGGCACGGCAGTTCGAATCCTACCGAAAACGGATACGTAAATTCCTCGCACGGGCTCTTCCCGACGCCAATCCCATGGAACACTAAAGTATCACATCTAGCAAAATTGAAGACCAAGTTCAAATTCCTTGGGAAATTCATGGCGAAAGCGATATACGACTCCAGAATGGTAAAAATTGGATTTCTCGTTCGCAAAATCTTTTCACGTCTCTTCTCGATCGCGCCCTTGACGCGTTAAATCGTTTGTTTTTCAGTTGGACTTGCCATTTAGTTTAACTTTTTACCGCTGGTTACTGGGAGAGGAGCATACTCTCACGTTAGCGGACTTGGCATACATATGTCCCGACGTATATCGCACTCTCAGCAAACTCCAAGAAGTCGTGAGGAAGAAAGACGTTATGGAGAAGGATCAGACACTGCGGCCGCACGAAAAGTCGCAATTAATAGAGGCTCTTGATTTAGATACGTGCCCCATTTCAGACCTGGGTCTTGTGTTTGAGTTGCCGGGCTATGAGAATATCGAATTGAGGAAGGGTGGCAGCGAGATATCCGTTACTATTCACAATCTGGATCAATATATTAAGGTAAATACATCGCTTGACACTTCCCTTCGCCGATGGTGTCTGAGGGATCACGGTGGTCATGTAATTTCTGTAAAATTTCAGTTAGTGGTACATTGGTTCTTGTATGAAGGAGTATTCAGGCAAATGGAGGCTTTCCGGGAAGGTTTCGAGTCGGTATTTCCTCCGTCTCAACTGAGACTATTCTTCCCGGAGGAGTTGGAAGCAGTATTCTGCGGCCACGCACAAACTGGCGGACAGTGGGACGTAAAGACTCTTGCCGAATGTTGTAGAACCGATCATGGTTACACGCCGGATTCACGGGCCATACGTTTTCTGTTCGAGGTCATGGCCAAGTACAACAGCGAGGAACAGCGACAGTTCGTTCAGTTCGTCACTGGTTCACCGCGTTTGCCTGTTGGAGGTAAATACTTGGCTTCATTTTTTACTTATATTGTCGTAAATGAAGGAAGCCAACGACGAAGTATGTTCTTGTATTTTGCAGGTTTTAAAAGCTTAACGCCTCCGTTAACAATAGTGCGCAAAACTTTCGATCCATCTATGAAGACAGATGATTTTCTACCATCGGTAATGACTTGCGTTAACTACCTAAAACTGCCTGATTATACCACCTTGGAAATAATGCGGGAAAAGTTGCGGATAGCCGCGCAAGAGGGTCAACATTCGTTCCATCTCTCCTAGAAACGGGTGGAAGATCGGCGCCTCGTTTTCTCCTTTATTCTCACTTTATCCATACCGCGAATTATCCAAACTTCGTTTAAGATCTACCTGAAATTACATACGTTGCCAGTGAGCAAATCCAACATATGACAATGGTTTTTACCCCTTACGTGAGTTCTTTTGAAAATAGTTTTCGTTTCTTGAAAAAATTCGTCGGAGTAACACTTCTTTCTTTTGGTGTTTAAATCTTTGCAATTTGGATTGTGATGTACTTTGATCAGGAAGAAAAGTGCAAAGTTGCATAATTAACCGAACCGCGTGAGTTTACGCTCTCGCGAACGCTACAAACCGAGTGGCTTGCGAGCGACCTCGTTTTAGGGAAAAGAACTTATCTTCAGTGTGTTACAATAAAAAAAAAAGAAGAAAAAGATTGTAAATATAGTTTAATATACGCAAGTCGATATAAATACTTTATATGATAGTACCGAGAAAAATATTGCTATAAAAAAACACTATACTAACTGAATATAACAGCCCGAGAGCGAGAGAAAGTGAGAGGAGGAGGACATTTACTAGGCATAAGTAAATTTTATATCAGTGGTGCGTTAAAAAGCATCGCCATACGTCGCCAATCCTCCGCGTCTTACGACCGCGGAAGAAAATGAAAATTTACGAGCTAAAATCAGCAAGGAGACGCGCACGCCCGCGACGAAGGCGCGCGAGCGCGTGTCTTGTTGTCGGAAACAACGCCGTTTCCGAACATACATCCCCCACACCCATAATATCGTGTCTCTCGCTGCTATTCTCTATTTTGTAATCGATCTCTTCGTGTTCGCCGCTTTTTTGAGTTCCAACGACCGAGAGCGCAATGCGCGAGTCCCGTTGCGTAACACCTCTACGTTTAAGTTCAATCAATGTGTAACGTTCATTAATATTATTTGATATTTTTATTCTAAGTGAATTAGCCCCGATCGTTATTTCATTTAGCTGCGTAAGAGTGCAATCGGAATCGCCAGGATCGCCACGACGCGCGCGTAAATCGAAGAGAAATTCCGATATTCATTTACTTACAAGCAAACTCGTCATATTTAGAGGGAAAAAAAAAGAAAAAGAATTGTAAGAGAACTTGTATGATACAAAAATAGAATGGATATAAAGTAAGTGAAGCTGGTGTATCAAATGGAAATACAAGATATATTACGTTACTTTCTTATGTCACCGCAGAAAATGCGGTGAAGTATATGCGAAAACTGTGCGAGAGAGAAAGAGTGTGTGAGGACGAATTAATCTACATGCCAGAACCTGTTTAATTTGAATTCTACGTTGTCAAGTTTTGCGTAAAATGTATATCGCGCACACAAGCGGTTTACTCGATTTTGTTGTATCCTTCAAAACAACCTAAGATTCGAGAGTCGCGCACCTTTTATTAGCGGAAGTTGTAATTTACTTTGTTAAAACATTTTCTTCTTTTTTTTTTATTAAGATACACTGTACGCTGACACGTCGATGTACTTTACATTACCATGATTACAATTTCCTAGGCGTGTGAAATAATTAATTTTTTATTTCGTTTTTTCACTTTGTGTGACGACGAATTACGAGTGATATAATGTGTAGGAGGAATCGAGGAACGCAGGGCAGAAAGGATATGTGCATCATCGTAAATGTGTAACGATTTCAGGACACGCGATTCAAACCCATGTCATTAATATTACAAACAAAAGATATATTTATATCGATTCAGTAGTATAAACGAATTTTACTTGATTCACATCGAAAGATGTTTTTTTTTGTTTTCTTTCTTTTCTTCGGAAGCCTTCAATAAACATAGGTATCATAAATCTGTTCGCCAAAGGAATATACCTCTCAAAACACAACGGGTGAAACGTAAGCATCGGGAATCGCACAAGAGACACACTGTTATTTTTTAAGAAACATTTAAAATCCATTCAAATAACCGTAAAATTATATTTTTTATTTACTTTTACCTCTATTACTTTCTGGAAATAAAATCAATCTATAATCATCGAGTACACTCATTGATATTCACGTTTAAAAATTATTTTATTTGCATTTTTTAAACATCTTTCTTTTTCATCCTTTTCTTTTATAAATATTCATCATTCCATCCTTAATGCTATCAAATATTGCTTCCCTCTTATTTTGCGCATTTTGTTGTTGGGTTTATCTCTTGCTCCTGTACGAAAACGTCTTATTTTTTTTAAGTAATATTTACAAGAACATACTGCACCACGCCAGTATTAAACAAAATCCTCCGATCGGCGTCGTCGTACTGAACCGTCTATTATTGGTAAATGCAGTGTAGTAACAACTACCGCAAAACAACGCGATCCCAGTCAGCATGAACGTAGCTGCCTGCAACACACGTGAAATTATCACGCAATCCTCCATACACGATACAACATACAACCATACAACCATTGTGAATTGTCGGTGACGTTTCAACTTACCACGGCTGGAAATTTGCACAACGGTAATCCAAGCAGGGCCAAGGTGTGAATAAAATGGTATCGATTCGCCGTTTCAAAGATACGACGTTGTTCCTGCCCTATCTCGTCTTTGGAGTAATGCCCTGCGGAGTGGAGCATCGGATCAATCGCGAGTCTCGCATTCGTACAGAATTGAGACGATACAGATGCGATTATATCGAGTAATTCACTTACGGTGAGATCCAATGGCTCCAAGGATTACGGCCGCTGCCCCGCTGAGAGCCGCAAGCCTCACGTACGGACCGCTGGCAGCGGCTAATTTCCACAAGGGTACCGGCGCTGTCATTTTTACTTCAACTCTCGGTTTTACTCCCAAATAGCTTGTCGCCTGACAGGGATTGTTTCACATTATTAGTTCTCGTGAAAATTAAAATTGTGTTTTGTGCAGACAGCATTACATTCTCTCTCTCTCTCTCTCTCTCTCTCTCTCTCTCTCTCTCTCTCTCTCTCTCTCTCTCTCTCTCTCTCTCTCTCTCTCTCTCTCTCTCATGTTGAAAGCTACTAACAATTTAGTATGAGTTTAACGAACAATTACTGCTGATAACGCAGGTTGCTTATTAATTTTTATCGTCATTCCTTCAACCATCATCCAGTTTCTTAACGCAGAGGATTATTATTATAGTCACATTTAATAGCTATTTATTAAACATTTAAGACTGCTTACGTAGATACTCATTAAAAACAAAAAAGCAACGCGTGACGTGACATTGCACATCCTGAACATAAAGATGTAAAAAAATTCATTATTCGTCAATGCGAGCGTTGAAAGGATAAGTAACTGCTATAGTGAATTAAAACCGCCGAGTTATCAGCAATTATCTCGACATTACTTTACGTTGTTATTACTATGAGTAACCTGCAGCAAAATAGCATGTCAATTTCTTACCGTAAAGCCCCTTGCACAATGCCAGGCAACAGGCAATAGGAACAGGGAATAGAAATCAGAAATCATGTATAAATGCAGAATAAACAGTGACACAGGCAATAG